TCTCTCATACTCTCTTAGACCCCCCCCCCCCCCCCCCACCCCACCTTTCCCTGGACCTGTGCCCAACACACCAAAGAGGACTCCAGGACCCATTGGGGATGGGGAAAATGATGATGATGATGATGATGATGATGACGACGAGAGTACACATCCACAAGCCCGTGTATGTCCGTGTATATCCTGGATCATCCCCCCGCCTTTCGGAGGTGTAGAGTTGAGAAGGAGCGTTCGTTACTTGAGGCGCGCGAGATGAGGTGAGATGCGTGGAATCAAATCAAATTTGCTGCTTTTCCATAAACCAAACCATCTCATCATGTGCGGGCGTGAACCGTAGAAGTTCGGGTTTACGGTACGCTCCTCCCTATCTTGATAACTTCAAAGAGATATGGATAGGCAAGGCAAGACAGGGCAGCTAGGAACGAGCCTTAAATGCTTGCCTACATGTCGGGATGAGAATCGCATCTTTTAATTATCTTATATCAAAGCTGGTCGTCAAACAATTGACCAGCAGAAGACGAGATGTTGGCTCACTGCGTTTTTTCGCAAGCAGGCCAGCCAGCGTGAATGCGCCCGTAGTGGCTTAACCGCCCTACGTGGCGTAGATCATCCGAATCCTTCCTGTATCCTCTAGATCTATCCTTTGATGAACCCAACCCAACCCACCCAGTCCTGTAACTTACCATCGACGAAAGTCGTCGTTTTTCGTCAATTTTTGTAGATCATGGCTAACAAACGCCTGTAAAGTGCTGTTATGCATCCATCAAGCCATCCATCCATCCATCCATCCCTCCTCCCTCGGGCTAAAGGCGCAGACAGATTCTCGAAGTGTTGAAATATGCGATGCCTGTCGTCCCGGATTTAAAATGTGATAATGATTCTATGCATGAAACGGACCGGAAATATCGTATATGGCCGTAAAAGTTCTTCTGATATCTTTGGTGGTCTCTTCTAATCACCTGCAGACTTGAATTCAACCTCTCCTCCAGAGACTCATGTCATGGAATTTCGTCGATTCTTCCCACTCGCGCTCCAACAGGGCTAGCTCTACCGAGACCCCGAATAGGCTCTGGAAGTGGCTCGTCCTTCATGCAAGAGTTCTCTAGCACGTTTGTCCATTTGCCGCTGGTGCCTGCATGACTGTGCTTGAGATGTTGTCTGAAATGGTCGGCTCGGAAGAACTTCTTTGCATGGTTGCACTCGCCAAACTTGTGCACTTCTTGAAGATGGTTTGCCCGGGCTTTCCAGTCTCGTTCGGTTGCAACGGCCCTCGGCGGCCCAGGCATAGACGGAGAAGATATCCCAGAGCGTGGGAAATCCTCTCCACAGTAGCCGCATGTGTCAGCCTCGTTCGGTTTGTTGGGAGAACTATGAAATGCAGCCTCATAACATGAGAGTGCGGCACAAGACCAGGAGTGCCGTCGTAGATGGAGCGAGTTCTGATGCCGTTCGGCTTCATTTTTGTTCTTGAAGCGGTTGCGGCAATATGCACACTCGTATTGCTTCTCTTGTTCATGGGCACTAGCTCTGTGGTCAGAAAATCTTGTCGCCACTTTGGAAGGGATTAATTACATCAGCTCATCTTGAGTATCGAACTTCTTCGGTTTCTTTGGGCAGCAGTCACACATGAAAACCCGCTGTATCTTTGGAGGAGGAGGATGATGCTTGGAGCGATCCTGACTTTCAGTGAGCTTTCGGGAATCCATCAATGGTCTCATTTCTGACAGTGCTCGATTGGAGTTCGTTCTGGAAGTGGATCCCCGAGGGCTCGGATTCAGTGGCGACGAAGTGGCATAGGGCGGCTCTGACATATCTGAGCCCGCGGCTGAGAGCCCTCCGGGAGAGATACCACCGGGGGACAATCGTCCGTATGAGCTCATACTTGTGACGCTACTCCCAGTGACCGAGAGACTAGACGCGTACGAGTTATTTCTTGGAGCAGAAGCGGTGGACGAGACAGATCCACATGTCGAGTGGAGCCGTGGAGTTGGTGAAGCACGGGATGCGGATTCGCGTCGTCTATACAAATCACTTGCGCTGCCAACCGTGTGCAACGATGAACCCTCATCCCCCGGGGGTGACGATGCCCGTCTTTTTCGTCCAATCGATGAAGGTGGCGAATGACCCTCCAATCGGCTAGAAAGATCTTCGATGTGCAGTCGTCTGAATCCGTTTTCCTCCATAAGGAAGCCGTCATCATTTTCTGGAGAAACCCTCGCATCATAAGTATCCCGGGACCGGCTGGTAACACTTGATACATCGTCAGAAGTAGATCCAGATCGTCCTGTGTACGGCAAAGGAGACCTATCCGGATAGTCTGCTACTTCGCTCGGCGGCCTGTGATCCAATTGATTTTGCATGCCAAATATTGTGTAAGAATTCTTTGGCGAGATCGCAGATGACGGTGGTGTTTCGACGCACCTACTCAACGGACTTTCGCCAAGACCTGGTCTGCCGGGTAAGGTGGGGAGGGACAAGGGCTTCAACTGGCTGGAATGCCTCTGTGTGTAATTCGAACGAGAAGTCGACGAGAAATCATTGGTAAATGAGCCGAAGCTGGAATTCGAAAATGGTTTGGGTGGGGGGGTCCTGTTGCTAGAACCCCTACGAGCGTCCAACTTCTGCAGCTGGGACTTGTCAAATGCCTGAGCATTACTTTGATATTTTGCGTGGACCGAGCTCTCAAAATTAGAGAAGGTTGGTAGTGGAGGAGAAGATTCTTGACTTCGTGACCTGGGAGACAATAGAATTAGTAACAGGGCTTATATAGCGATATACTGCATTCGGCATTCCCCCTTCACACCAATTAAAAAATCCCAGACAAGATTCGAACATGGTGGGCGTCTCGGCCGCCCCGAACGCTGCTGCGAGGTTCTCGGAATCGCATTGTAAGAGAGATTTCCAGACTAACTTGTTCGACCATGCGATTGTTCCAACACCCGTATAGCCTTCGTCTCTGTGGTACGAGATCTCCCTTTGGTCTGTGGGCCTAACTGTCGAGTTGGAACCTGTTGAGCGTACGAATTCGGGTCTTTGCTCAACCATGATTCGTCTCACGAAATGTCCACCATTCAAACTCGAGCCTGGCGCAATGGATGGTGTCGACCTCCCCCGATCTCCACTGTCATCATGCGAATTGCCCCATTTCCATGCGATATCTTGTCCATTGTGTCCATAATCGGCAACGTCTGCCAGATATCGCGGGGGGGGAAGTGGAGGGGGCGGTGCTTCTCTAGCATCCGGGATTAAAATTTCCCTTGGAGAAGCGGCTGAAGACGAATTGTAGGAACTGGATCTGCTTGGGTATCGAAATCTCTCGGCAGGGTCGTGTACATATATCTCAGGTAGAGCCACAGGAGCTGGTCTCCTACCACGGTGGTGTGAGGTGTCCATGTTGACGGGGTTCGGGAATTGCCGCCAGCCGAAGGAATGAAGAGTAGGGGATGCTTTGCTCCGGAATGCGACGCCCTAGAAGGTCTCGGAGGGCAGGTGGCGATAGTCTTCGGAAGAGCTGGGTTGGGGGAGGAATTGGAGGCGGAACATAGATGTCGAAATCCCAATGACGAAATATACAGTGACGAAAAATGCAAAAGCCCGCCGTCGAACTCGAGTGAGAGTTATATCATCGAAGAAGCACCCGAAGGCGCCGAAGGGGAGACAGAGACGGTGCGTGGAATAAAGGGAGGGGTGCCTTAAGTGAGACCGGTGGTTGAGAATTCGCGTATGAGGGAGAGATGGGTGCAGTGAGTAGGTGGGTAGGTGAGTAGGTGATAAGTTAGTAGGTTGGTAGGTTGGTAGGTTGGTAGGTTGGTAGGTTGGTGAGTCGGTAGGTAAATAGGAGTAGGAATTGACAGGAGGTGGTGGTGAAGGTGGAGGTGGTGGTGGTGGTGATGGTGGTGATGGTGGTGGTGATGGTGGTGATGGTGGTGATGGTGGTGATGGTGGTGGTGGTGGTGATGGCTAGATGGCAGTAGTGTTGACCTTAATGCGAGTGAGGCGAGGCAGGTAAGGGCAGGCCAGGGTAGGGGTAGGGCAGACCAGGGTAAGGCAGGGCAGGCCAGACCAGACCAGTCCAGGCTGAGGGCCAAGCAAAAAGGTGGTACTTTAGTACCTAGTAGACACTAGCCAGGCTTTAGGCTTCCGGACTTTACTGTAGAACTCACGGAGTAGAAGAAGGCTGCACTTGACGGGGGCGGTCAGCCGGGGTTGGGCTTGGGCTTGGGCTTGGGCTTGGATACCGGTAGGTGAGGTGAGGTGAGGTGAGGTATGTCGACTAGGGAGGATTGAGGTCGGCATTTACACACTACTTCTTAAAAATTCAATAAAATTCAATATAGTAGTAATAGTAGTAACAGGAAAATACTCCAACTAGTAGTTCGATGATTCTGCCCACTGTCTCTGCCATATCCGGCCTGGGGCAAGGCGGTGACATCCTTAAACTCTGGTAGCTCCGTTGCGTAGAGATCGGGTACAGCTGCTACCTATAGTATGTAGTAGTAGTATTTTTTTGGGGGGATGAGGAGGGGGGAAAGGTTGTATGTATGACACGTGCAATGAGACTTTTTTAAACAGTACGGAGGACGAGAGCTGGTTACGATTCACTCTCGGGAGTACGGACAATCAGTATCGATCCTTTCCTCCATCGAGATTATCCCACCCTGGCAGAGAGGTCGTCTTCAATACCTGTCTATTGTGGACTCTCCATTCCTCTCCTACTTTAGTCTCCAGTCTTCCCTCCTCCTCCTCCTCCTCCTCCTCCTCCTCCTCATGCTCGGGTTGAGTCCTTGTCCCCGAGTCCATCCAACACGAATACGGCGGCTGGGTGCCAATGTTTAAGGGTCATGACGAGGACGCGGACGCCATGGTCACTGACTGTTATGGTTATGGTTAGCGGCTGCTGCTTTCGGCTGGCCGTCTTCAGACTTCCAGACGGGAAAGTACGTAGTAGTAGTACTAGTAGTAGTAGTACTAGTACTAGTACCACCTACGGAGTAGGTAGGTATGCTCAGTTTCTTTTGGTCTGGCCAATGGTCGAGATCCGAAAGAAGCTCCGTCCTGGTAAGTATGGACGGAGTAGGTATAGTGACGTGATCAGATCCCGCGGGCTTTGACTCTGCGCGTCTGCGAGGGCGCAGTAGTGGCCCGTGGGGCAGGAAGCGGGAAGCCGGGGCTTTGCAAGGACAGGCGCGGTGGTCGGGTGCCGAATTGGGAGTAGTACCACTGACTGTACCAGCTGTAAGTATCAGCCCTATCTACTACGTACAACAACAACAACAATTACTACTACTACTACTACTACTACTACCACCACCACCACCACCACCTACCACTATCTCTTAGCTCCACGCCCCATCCATCCATCCATCCATCCATCCTTCCACCCATCCATCCATCCGTCCATCCATCGGGGCTCGCCTTCGGTTAGACTTTCCTTTCGCCTCATCGACCGTCATTTCAGAGCCCATCCGGATGCTTCAAAGGCTTATTTGTACTCGAGTCTTGATCTTCTGCTGCGCCCACCATCATATACCAACTGACGACGCACCAAGGCCAAATCCCGAATCAAATCCCCAAGTACGTAGTACTACGTACGTAGTACTACCAACGGTCTCGACCCCGTCTCTGCGCATTGACGGACGGACTTTGCTGGAGAGTCGAGACCATCGGGACAGCGGACTAGGGTTCACAATCATATCCTACGTAGTACTGTACGTGCTTATACAAGAACTTTACAGGAAACATGCATGATCAATGCCAACGCCAACGCCAGCGCCAGATCCAAATCGATCTACGGAGGTACAGCGGTTAAGTGTCGTAACCCTCGTCGACCCACAGCCACTTTTTCTAACCTAGTTGGGCTCGGTTCAGATGAAGTTCTTCCAAATTCCGCGCTTAGCGATCACGTTATTGCCCAAGTGGGTTAGATGTAAGAGCCGTGGGTCGGCGAGGGTTACGACACTTAACCCGCTGTGCTGTACCTCAGTAGGTAAAAGCTCCTACCAGGTACCAAATACCAGATACTACTAAGATGATCAGGGTCCTCGTGGCCGCCTTATCCTGTCTGAGCTCTGCCCTGGAAAGAAAGCCTGGGTTAAAGATAGTAGTCGGAGGAACTTTCTGAAACGGCGGGTCAGTACGGAGTTGCAACTTGCTGGCAAAGCACTATCTATAGACAAGAGAAATGAAGTAGGACTGTACGGCACATATGAATAGAATCTCGGATCCAGCTCAGGTATATTGATGTCATGTCTTCCATGAATGTTGAAGTCGGAGAAGACCATAGTTGTTAACTGATCTCCGACCAGGCCGAAACGAAGAAAAGAAGCCGAATGGAAGGCTGCATGGAAGGCTGAGGCTTGCCCTAGCCGTGACCCGAGGACCTGCAACCAAGCCAGGCCAAGCCAAGCCGTCGTGCTCATGTCCGGGTTCCAGGTTCCAACAGGGCTGAGGGCTGATGGCGATCGCACCGCGGCTTGTGGTAGGTACCGGTAGTAGTACTAGTCGAGAGTACCTAAGTAGTACTACAGTAGGTACCTCCTACGTTGTACAACAAACGTACACTGTAAGCGGAAGTTGTCGGGTTGGGTCCATTCCTCGCAGCGGGTAGAGAGGACCTACCTACTCACTCTACTTGCTAAGCTCTACCGGGCATGCCATCTTCCGGCCCGATTGCCTTGCAGTTTTGTTTCCCTTCACATAGCAAAGAAGGTCAGCCAGCTACAGTAAATTGTGCCTTTCAAAAACCGGTACCGAACGAAAGAAGCCAAGGCCAGATCCAGCACGCGATATCCGCGCGAGTAACATTCTCGGTAACAAAAGACTACTACTACTACTACTTGCTATGGATCTCTACGGAGATACAGCGATCAAGTGTCGTAAGCCCCGTCGACCCACGGCTCTTATGTCTAACTCACTTGGGCAATAACGTGATCGCTAAGCAACCGAATTTGAAAGATCTTCAATTTGACAGAACTCAATTGGGTTAGAAGAAGTGGCTATGGGTCGACGAGGATTAGGACACTCAACCGCTGTACCTCCGTAAAGGTAGTAGTACCTTCCCTCCGGCCGATAGTTTCCCCTGCCTGTTTTCGCATGCCTCGACACCTTAAACTAATGCCGCTCCACCGTATGTATGCCAGCGCAGACTTCCGTGCGCTGGCCCCTACTCCGTCAAGTAGGCCGCCCCACCCCCTAAAGTTTTTTTAAAAAAAAAGCTGGGCCCACCATACTCTACTCCGTAAAGAGGCTGAACTGAGATCAATTAGCTAGTAAATTGCGAATGGATCTAGAAATATCAAAGACAGCGAGTCGGGTTAAGATTCGAATGATGGCGAGATCTAGACGGAAGTGGAGCACGAGATCAGGAACAAGCAAAAGTAATAAAGGAAGCTTTTAATCTATCTCCAAAATAAGGAGAGCAGATGTCGGCATGTACGTAGTACGTAGTACATACAGACCGCGTGAGGCTACGCTGCACAACATCAAACTTATGACAAGCCCAATCAACTTTGAATGGCTCGCGCGCATGGCTGGCGCGTGCGGAGGCTGGATAATAAATGAATACCACACCGGTCATTTTACAATTACACCGCCGGAAGCCTTTTTCAACCTGAGCGCGGCAATGGGCTTCCTTCGAACTAAGATAGGGTTACTTTGTATTAAGTAGTGTATTTAAAAAAAAAAGATATGGGGGAGGCATTTGGAAAAAAAGAAGAAGAAAAAAAAAAAATTCGAGAAAAAAATTAAAATTCAAACCCTTTTCGGCGCCTAGCGCGGCATTCGATTTTGAATGTTGCGGTATGCGAAAGCGTGTTCTTACACTAGTAGTACCCACGGTACAGGCCTAAGTATTACCCCTCGAGGGTGCCTTAAAAGTATAGTTTCCACTTTAAACCCCCTGTTTTCCCTACCCTAGAGGGGTAATACTTACGCCTGCGACGTAGTATGTGCAACTACCGGTACGTTCGAGGCCTGGGAAAAACTATCGGCCCTCCCTTCCTGAATCCTGACCGAATCACGCGGCGAGCTAGGTAGATATAGTACCATCGTACCATTGGTCGGAGGACCCTCTTGTCGACCAGAGCAGCCAGGGTGGGCGGTTCCTACGGGGTGGTAGAGAGGTATTCTGCAGGCCGTCCGGTCGATGTTCAGCGGTACCGATTAACTTTCCCCTGGGTTTTCTCTCTCTTCGACTACGTATCGCTGGGGACTACGGAGGTAAGTCCTACGGGGATGCCAGCGGCCGCTCCCGCCACGGAATGTCGGAACAAGTTGCAGCCGTCCCTTCCGCACCCCCCCTCCCTTGCAAGGTACTTAATACTACGTACGTAGGTACTGCTAGTACTGCCATTAATCCACTTCAGCCGCGCAGAATTGAATATTCTAAATATACTTTTCTACGTATCAGAACCATGACTACAACCATGATCTCGACCACGACCACGACCACAATCAGAATAATCACAACGCGCGCTTGCCCTCAACCATCCATCCCCCCCCCCCCTTTTCCCCTCCCCCTTTTGTTCCGTTTAATTGCTACGATTACTAATCTCTTACGCAAGGTAATCCGAGCTGACCTCTAAGCTTCTTCTCCCTTGCCCTTACCAGCTGCTGACCTTTCTCAAAATTTAGACTTCAACTTCCACGGTCCGATGATTATCACCGACATTGCCGGTAACGCAGATAGGGTTTACGCTTTTACTTAGTACTACTACTTAGTCGTAGTTGTTGGCAATTCCGTATACAAGAGGGGCTGGTTGGCTGGCTGGCTGCGGCTGTGCCGACTTTCGGTGGCGGGAGTATCCGTTAGCGTGGGACAAAACAACTAGGGTAGTTACTTAGGAGTACTTAGTGGTTGTAGTAGTAGTAGTACTGTAGTTGTACGGAATATTTCACCCCCAAAACCTTCTTTCCTTTCCTTCTTTCAAACCTTAGGTACGGAATCGAAACTCTCTTGAACCTTACCGTCGTCCGATGTTTATCGACTATCGCGGACATCACCTTACTTACAAGCTGGACGGACGAACGAGCTTCCAGGGGAGGGGGGGGTCTAAGGGAGGAAGTCCCCCTTACATACATAGGATATTACATATGTATAAGCTGGAGGATCTTAGGGGGTTTCAAGGAAGGGGGATCCATCTCCTTTTGTATTATTAGCTCTCGAATGATTGATTGATTGATATTGAGTAGGTACCTACACATTCGCTACTTACGATAAATCTCGGCGCCAGAAGCTGTAGGTGCTTATTGAGTTCTGCAGAACGGACACGCTGCTTTCTCGTTATCATTGGAACGGTACGTTTCATCTACTACGTCAGAATCTACTCCGTGATCGTATGGCCGCCGACAAGATATCAAGTATCCAATCAGTCCAAGGTCGAAAGAGAGGGAGAGGGAAGAGCGTTAAGGTGGAAGGCAGGCAAGGCGGTGAGGGGTCGTGGGGGAGGTGGGGGAGGAGGTGGGGGTAAAGTTGATGGGGGAGGCCCGGCTTGGTTCGGTTTGGTGGGGGGCAGAATAGTTTAGCGCGCGTCCTTAGGGACATGATGATAATCAGATGCGATCAGATGCGATCAACAATCAAACAGACAACCACGATCAACGAAATGCCGAAACGAAAACAGCTAAATCGCTGTGACCGGGTAGGAACAGAGGTACCGGTATCTCCTACGAACAGCGGCCCGCTCCCGCTACGGTATATTTGGCGCAGCTGGGGTCACCCTTGTAATAATTATTGCTATAATCACAAACCCCATCTACCACTAAGTACTACTGTGCTACCACTGATTCTCCCACCATTATTTAGTTTAGCCGCGCATGATGAAAATATTTTGAATGTAGTATAGGTATTGATTTGGACGTTCTTGTACCGAAAGCATCACTAAATTACGATTACCATAATAGACGAGTTTCGGAGCCGAGTTAACCCACTCAGTTATCCTAAACGCTAAGTCGGCGCCACAGCTACAGTAAGAAGTTAGTAAGCAGGGCGGTCTTCATGAGATAACAATCACTGACTGGTGGTCGACCTGCGTCCGTAGTACCCTCTGGTGTGTTATCTACGTAGTAGTGTCTCGATCTGCGGATACTCTATTCGGCTTATACTTTTACCCTTGGGTTTCGAGGTTAACTTTATGCCTGCCCTGACCCTTACCCTTGACCTCACATATCCTTCCGTGTAAAGATGTACTACCTAAGTAATGCCGCGTGGTCTCCACTCTCTGTCCCTTTTCGGAGCGCAGGGCCAAGGAGAATTTATACCGAATGAAGCTAAGGTAAGTAATTGAGCAAGTTTATTTCCTTCCGAAACCTTTCAATTTTAGAAACTTTAACTCAGTTAACTACTATACTTAATAGTACTTGTAATTGTGGGGTTCAACTCTGTAGGTAGGTAGTTGGGTATGCCCCATGTTTTGTTTGATTTAACGCGGCTTCGAAGAAACTTGTCTATGTAATAATGACATACGCGCGCCAACCTCCAACTCATGACTTACCACCCCTCTCCTCCCCTCATTACCCTCATCTGCTTTTACTAATCTGATACTCAGTTAGAATGATAGGTCAGACGTGTTGAGAAACTTGGTAATCGTAAGTTATTTCCCTTTCGGTCTTAGTCTGCTTTCTCGCTTTCGGTTTGCTCGAGGGCGATTCCCTCGAGCGGGGAATTCCCAAATGAGAAAGCAAATCGAATGAGGGCTTGGCCAGCTATTGAGCTTTGCAAGAGTACCTAGTGTCACTCTCTCTTGAATCCTAAACAATTAACGCTTAATAGGTTCGTTCAGTATTTCCGCAGTTCTAATCGAACTGAATATACTAGAACATAGTAGACAAGCTCATGATAGACTCGTTATAAACAAACACATACAGTAATACAACTAAGTGATCAAGTGGCTGAATGCTTGCAGCCCTGGTGCCGAGCCGTAGAGATCGAGCGAAGCGCCAGAACCAGTATGTGCCTAAAACGAAGCACGCAAGGCAATGATAGCCGAGATAAAGGGCAGGCGCTGGAGATCTCCAGCAGACGTAAATAGCAAGACAAGGCTGACTGACCGCCACCCTCAACGCCGCCCGTTTTGAGCCTTTGCGCCCGTTCCGCGAGCCCGTATCTCGAATCTACGGATGCCCGGCAACTTCGGCATATGGACAGAAAAAGCCAGACCGAGAACAAATCCCGCGTATGGGGAGCCGGCCCGGGGCTCGCGAAGACCCGGGTGGGCGGCACGGCCTACTTCCCGGGCAAGTATATTTATGCCTTTTCGGTAGGGCTACTGTAAGATGAAGTAAGGAAACCCCTCCCGGAGCTCGAACTCCTACGACATGTCGTATACCTATACGCTGCTTGCGATACGGATTCTTGACGCACGAAGACTTCACTTGGGACTCTACTCAGGTTCCAGCACCACGACGCCAAACTTGAGAGATGCGCTTGCGGCAGACGCAAGTCCCTTTCGCACCTCCTCGCCCTTTTATCGCTTTACACGATGGCGCTTCTTTTCTTGGCTAGAGGGAATCCGGCCAAGGACCTTACTAAGCACTATCTCGAACGCCTACGATTCTCTTAAGGCTCTTCTTAATAAGCCGGCCGACTTCTAAGCTTTCTTGACCACTACGGACTTCTATTCTAAGCATTACACCCGCTGATGGTGCTACTCTGGCTGCTTACTAATACTGCCTCTTAGTAAGGAAGTAGGGGTACCCCTCGCTTTATAAAGGCTATAAAAGCTAGCATAATATACGATGAAAGGAGGACTTCTAAGCGGCGTAGTGCATTCTCGAGAGAACTTATTCTTACGCTATTATACGATGTTAATGGACTATTTTTGAAAGTGTTATTTTGATTTTAGTTCTTGTTTCAAGGCGCTTTCTTCCTTTCTTCCTTTCTTGCAGTACTATATGCACTTGAGGCTGACCCCGATCAGGCCTCGATACTAATCGTCTTGCGATTTAAACATATCTACGCTTTTAAGCTAGCTACGGCAGTCTATACTTGCTTTACTTTCTTTTTATAGTTTCTTTTCCCTTAACGGAAGGTCTCCTGCTTTCTACGATCTGTCTTGTCCGTAAAAAAAGAGCGCAAACGATACTAGCTTTTGCTGCACTACTTTTAACTGCTTTTTAAGGCTGTCTTATGTATAAATTCTTAGCTTAGCACGTCGCCGTACCCTATAAGAGGTCTAAAGGCGGCAGGCTTCGCTTGCTACCCCCCCCCCCGACGTTAACAGATACCGGTACAATAACAACAACAACAACAACAACAACAAGATGAAGTAAGGATGGATATCAAATATCAACCCGTTATTGAGGCGTCGCAGGCCTTTAGGCTGAAATAGAAACAAAAATCTTAGAAGAGTAAACATGAATGGACCTCCGCTGAACTTGAGATCCCCAAAAAGTATGTAGTGGAGAACCGGACCCTAAGAACAGGATCTCACTGTGAGAGGAAATTATAATCGATGCAATGGGCGTCTTCAGCTGGGAAAGCCACCCTAGGGTCCTCCAGGCCTCGAAAACAGGAGACGGTAATCGGCTCATCACCTATTCATATTGTGAACTCTACAAGTCGATCAGAAGTGTAAGTACCGGTACCTAACCATGTAGTATACCGGTAGTATACTGGCACATGTGGATCTGTTTTTTCGGAGACCCACTGACCTCGGGTTAGAGAGTCTAGGGCTGCAGGTTCGTCCCGTTGGCTGCGAAAGTCGCGGAGATACCTCCGTCGATGAGAGTGGCGACAGATGAACCAAAGCCACGTGCTATCAAAAGCGTGGTTATCCAGAGAGACGTCGCATCAACATTCAGAAATTCTTGTCAATGCCGGAACTGCGTTTCATTGGCCTGAGGCATCAACGAACTAAATCTAAGCGACCGCTGACGACTTACCTCTCTCTCCCACTAGAAGAGCAGAGTCAGTCGTGCGAGGGAGGCTTTCGATCGACGGCGGAAAAAAAAACAAGAAAAGAGAAAAAAAAAAAGAGAACCCAGTCTTTTAATACTTGGAAACCCGTTTACTTTCCCGACCATCTGGAGCAAGCCCCATTACGCCGCCCCGTTGCGTTCTTGCGGATTGTCGGAAAGCCGAGACCCGCAGCTGAGTCCGAAAGCAAGCGTGCGGATCGACCGAGAGAAATCGCCACCAGGCATCAGGGTGCCTTTTTTCGCCACCAAAAGTGGATTTCAATCGCAAGGCTGGGGCGAGATCATACAGACGACAAGCAAAGCCTGGGTTGCAGACCGTCTCCGTCGAACATGGCGCTCTCTCGCGTCCCGGGAGATGACGAGCTCTACGTCGGTGGGTATGTACGGTCCACTTCGCCATTGTGGTGGCTTCATGTCCACTCCCCTTGGCTCGTCATCCACTCCTTTTTCTATTGTTCGTAGATCTGCGCTGATGGCGCGCTGACAGTATCTTCACCTTGCGCCGTAGAGATGCGCTGGAGAAGACGGGCATCACCCACATCGTCTCCGTCCTGAGATATGATTTCAAGGACTTCCAGGACTGGGAGAAGTACGAGCAGCTGAGCATCGAGGTCGACGATGTCGACGATGAGAACCTCCTGGTGGAGTTCGAGAAGACGGGGAGGTTTATCGACGATGCGCTGGAGAGTGAGAAGGATGGCAAGAAAGGAGCAGTATTGATTCATTGGTGAGTGAGTCGGTCTTGTGCTTACTGCTTGTTGGGGATGAGTGGTCCTGTTCTTGCAAGCTACACTCCTTGGAATATAACTACCAAGGACGTGAGACATGTATTTCTTCACAGCTCCTCTCTACTATACTCGGATTTCTGCCACTACATTTACGGATGCCATTTCTTCTTGTGCAGGCACCTCGGCGTTATCCGTTGGCTTCCATTGTTTTCATGCAGGGCAGAAACTCGCTAACCCTTTTTTTTTTTACCTCCCAGTGCCATGGGCAAATCCCGATCCGTTACAATCACCATCGCCTACCTCCTTCGCAAATACCCACACCACACCGTCAAGTCCGCACTTGAATTGATTAGAGAATCTAGACCAATCGCAGAACCCAACGATGGCTTCATGGCTCAACTTCAGCTCTACAAGGAGATGAAGTGTCCACGTGACATCGAAGCTCATCCAAAGTACCAGAGGTGGCTGTATGATCAGGAAGTAGGACTGGCTCTCGCCGCTGGTATGGCACCGGAGAGAGTCAGATTCAGAGACGAAGAGGAGCAAGTGGAGAGCACTGGTGGAAAGGAGGTTGAGCTGCGGTGTAGGAAGTGTCGGTACGTAGCACATCCAGTGCTCATTTAATTTATTAGCTATCAAGGACTTTGGAATCGGATATTCATAGTCCATACCTTTGCATAGGCTAATATATCCTTCACAGGCGTACATTAGCGACAACCCCCTACCTCGTCGACCACCTCCCCACGCCTCAAAAATCTCCACCGTCAGCTGCAGAAGGCCCGATCTCCTCTCTCATCCCATCACTCCCTCCTGCCCCGCTCCATAGCGCTTGCACACACCACTTTCTCCATCCCGTGTCCTGGATGCGGCCCGCCCTAGAGATGGGTTTGCTGAGCGGCCGCCTGGAGTGTCCCAACCCGAAATGTGCAGGTCAGCTTGGCCGCTACGCCTGGCAGGGTATGAGGTGCAGCTGCGGGGTATGGGTGTGCCCAGCATTCAGTCTTCAAAAAGGGCGTGTCGACGAGGTCACCACGAAGGCAGAGACGGGAAGGGGCCAGGCTTCTAAGCCGGGAACTGTGGGGGGTGAAGAGCGGGGAAGAGCTGCTCATGGTATCAGGCTACCGCCGGGAATGAGAGACAAGGAGAATCTCTAGGAACCGGAAGGGTGCAGTAGACAGACTGATGGGAGATTTCGGGAGAAAAGAATGTATGGCATGACTGAATGTTTATGACTCGATAGTCCATCTGCCGGTTCTCACATGAATTCATACTGTTGCTCAGGACGTTTGCTCGGGACGTGTCGCTCTTGCTCGACATCGAGCATAGCTTTGATCCTGAAGGAAAGTTTTCCAAACTAGCTACCGATAGGTAGACCATGATAGGTAGTACTGAATTGAAAAGTACTACCAACACACTCCCAGTATACTTGAGTCGGGAGCAACTCGGAGAAACACGCATGAGGATCACCGGTACGAATCTCTTCATTGGTGCATGAGACATTCCTTGTGATAGCTTCCACCCTGTTCCCCACTGTAAGCACAGGTGACTCGCAGTTGATCTTGTCCGAAATCCTGACACCGCAACGTCGGCTATCTTACCGGGAGCCTGATGAGGGAAGAACAAGGAAAGGGCAGAGTGCTGCAACTCGTATGGGCAAACGCAACAGAGATATGATATGGTGGCGTTCGATGGGGAAGCAATGAAAGGAAACACCGAGATTATCATAACCAGCATAAAGCTGAGTGACGGATCGATCTTGCTCTCTCGTCCAATGGTCTCATCTCTCAAGACCTTGAACATCAAAGTTCTTGCGATAGATATGCGGGAAAGCAAAAATGATTGTCCTGTTCGTCTCAAGCTTGTGATCTTCACACGGTTGATTGGATGTTCGATTCAAACCATGAGCTTGTCATACTTCCCCACCGTCCCCACTGCGGCATACATCTTCATTGCGCATTTGATGTTTCATGTGGTGAAAACATGAATCCACCGCTGGCGATGGTGGGATCTCGAGAGGTGTTTGTGGTGTATCAAGTGGGTGTGCTGTCAGGTGGGGTCTCGTATTGGCATTCCACCACCAGCAGATGGTTAAAACGCTCGACCCGAGTCGAAGAACTGTGACTGGAGCCTAGGGTCTGGTGGCCATAGAGCTGAAGATGTAAGCACTAGCAATAGGGTCTCCAAGCGAGCGTTCGGACGTTCCCATCCGCTCTATAGGGCTGAGAACCACAAAACTCATTACTACCCAACAGGCCGCTTCAACTTGAGTGGAATCGAAGCAAATTTAACTGCTGTCACAACCGATGAGGTGCCCAGAATCTCAGAATTCGATACACGGAGAAGCTCTTAAACTGTCGTCCGACCAACAGGAGGAGCTTTTCAGCCTGGTGACTGGCGTACTAGGGGATCGGTGCTCTGAATTTATCGGCAGGGATAAGATACATGGTGTAGGAATAGAGCTAATACAACCTGGCTGAAATCGAGGCAAATGGCAGAAACCGCGTGGACGGGTCAATCATCAGGGAAGCATCTCGTCGGCGTTATGTGCTCGCTAACGTGCGGTTTCATCGGGAAAAACGGCGTTTTTAAGAGTAATAAGTTTGGCAGGCCTAGATGAGTGGCTTTATTCCGTTGAAAATTCGGGGTGGATCCTAAAAGCGACATGAGGCCGTCCCTCGGGGTGCCCCCCCGGCGCTGACTGTATCTCCCAAGAATTCTCTTATCCATGGTGCTTCTCTATGCATCCAAAATTTGCTTTGTGTTCATGAAAGCAGGGGAGGAGTGGCTCTGGCAACGAGTTGATAGAAGAAGCAGATTGAGCATGCCTATCACGTGATTGTAGATTCGATGCTTGTAGGTAGCTAAGTAGTCGGAATCGTCCTCTTACGGAAGCCCTTTGGGGACCTGCGGAAACAGGTTTGGATTCTGAAGGCGTTCCCGATTCCGTTTCGCAATCTCAGCATTTCTCTTCTTGTCGATTCGCTGTTGGTAGAAGGTCTTCTGAAGAGCAAATACTCGAGGTTCATCGTCTTTGGAAGCAGGGGCTGCTATTTCAAGTTTCTTCTGAAGTCGATTTAGATTAAGACTGCGAGGTTTCTCTCTTTGAGACTTACCTTCTCCTCGGGCTTCTCCTCTGCAGCTTTCTCGTCATCCTTCTTATCCTTCTTATCCTTATCCTTATCCTTGTCTGTGTTCTTCGCCGACTCTTTCTCTTTCTCTTTCTCTTTCTTTTTCTTCTGCTTCTCTTCGAATTCCTTTTTTACCCGCTGGATTTCCGCCTCCATTTCCTCCTTCTTCTTCTCCGCTACAGCCGCCGGGTTGATGATGGGATTGCAGAACCCCTTGTCCTTGAGATGAGCTGGACAGACAAAGAAGAAATCCTAGATCTGTAATGAGAAATGCAGATGTATGATATGTAAAAGTCTGGTATACCTTATTTTCCGGAGACACCAAGACGCTGGTGCTGGGTTTATAGCAAATGTCACATGCTTTCGAAGCTGTATCGGCCACCTTCCGGTGCGTATAGATGTTCGCAAAAGAAGCCATTCCAGAGACTTAGACTTCTGGATGAAATTCTCTGTTGAAAAGCTGTAAATTATCTGATCTTTTGGAACTGTATGGGTTGCATGGGATATACTTCGATGTTGGAGGTCTGAAGCCTTGAGGTTCTGTGTGGATCCACAAGGCTGAGGCTAATTAAGGTACAGTACTTAGCCTGCTACCCCTACCCCTGTATGCACGTGTAAATTTCAGGCAGCTTAGTTTTTGGCTATCGGCTGCTATCAAGTTTGAAGAAAAAACAAAAAAGTCACTCTCTGCCAAAACCCCCACTACTTCTCGAGTTCTGTCCAGAATCATTTTCGTTCTGCAAGAAAAATACAAGCAAACCACTTCAATTCAATCAATCGACTTCAATCCCAATCATGGCCTCAGAACAAGTTAAAACTCCCGGCAGCAAGCCAGGAGAGAACATGCTATGGGGAGGACGCTTTACTGGTTTGAGTCACCGTTGGCACATCTCATGCGGAACATACTAATCAACTGGCAGGCGGTCTTGACCCCCTCATGGTCTCGTACAATGAGTCAATCTACTTCGATCGTGCATTCCATACGCAGGATATTTTGGGCAGCATCGCTTGGGCTCGTGCAAATCACAACGCTGGCATCCTCACTGCAGACGAGTTCTCCAAGATTGAGTCGGGTCTGAAGGCTGTTGAGGCGGAATGGGTCGCAGGAACTTTCGAAATCATTCCGGGAGTTGACGAGGACATACATACTGCAAATGAGAGAAGATTGGGAGAGATCATTGGCAAGGATATTGGCGGAAAGCTTCACACTGGCCGAAGCCGAAATGAACAAGTAGCTACGGACATGCGACTGTGGTTGAGGGATGAGCTGAGGGCAATTGAGAGTCATTTGGTTGATTTCTTAAAGGTCATGACTGCTCGAGCAGAGGCGGAGGTGGATGTCATCATGCCTGGTTCGTACATTCCTCCCTGTCGGAAATAGAAGGTGTGCTACTTACTAAGTGGAATTTAGGCTACACCCATCTTCAACGTGCGCAACCCATCCGCTGGAGCCACTGGATCTTGTCCTATGCTATGGCATTTGCTCAAGATCTGGAGAGACTTCGTGAAGTTATTGTTCGTGTGAATCAAAGTACGTGCTAGACCTCGACCTCTTGGGGCAGTCTTTGCCTCCGCTTGCATTCTAGACTAAATGTTAACTGTGCACAAAGGTCCCCTTGGTGCCGGAGCCCTTGCTGGAAATTGCTTTGGTGTAGATAGACAAGCCATGGCTGATGAGCTTGGCTTCGATGGTCTGGTAAATCTTCTGTCCTCCCGAAACTTGATGCCGTGTCTAATATACAGTAGTTGTGGAATTCTATGGGGGCGGTTTCATCTCGCGACTTTGTCGTAGAGGCTATGCAATGGGGCAGTTTCCTGGGTCTACATATCTCCAGGTGGGCAGAGGATCTGATCATCTATTCAACCGGAGAGTTCAAGTTCATCAAGTTGGCAGACGCCTACTCGACGGGAAGCTCCTTGATGCCTCAAAAGAAGAATCCAGACAGCTTAGAGCTGCTGAGAGGAAAAAGCGGCAGAATTTTCGGACAAATGGCTGGCCTAATGATGACCGTTAAAGGTATCCCCAGGTATGGACACCCACTTTGAAAACAATCTTGAATCACCTCTGATTTTGAACTAGTACCTACAACAAGGATCTCCAGGAGAGTGTGGAGCCCATGCTTGACCACGTGAAGACAGTCAGTGACAGCATTCAAATTGCCACTGGAGTCCTCTCTACCGCAAACATCAACCCTGAAGCTATGAAAGCTTCTCTCGAGTAAGTAATATCTCACCATACTCTTTGCGCCCGGCCTTCTTTGCTAACCTTCCTCCTAGCCCGTTTATGCTCGCAACTGACATTGCCGACTATCTCGTCAAGCTTGGCGTTCCCTTCCGCGAGACCCATCACATTTCCGGTCAATGCGTTGCCCACAGTGAGAAGACCGGAGTTTCCATGGACCAAATGAAGTTCTCCGATTTTAAGAATATCGACTCCCGATTCAAGGAAGACATCGTGGATATCTTCAACTACGAGCACAGTGTCGAGATGCACTCTGCTCTCGGCGGAACCTCCAAGAATAGCGTGTTGGAGCAGATTGCTATCTTGAAGAAGATTTTGCAGTAAGCAAATCATAATAAGGGTTAGAAGGGATGTTATAATGTGGTGTCTAAAGAATGCAATCTTAGCTAGATTTAGAAGGCCTTACGTAAGCCAGGAAACTCGCATAAGGTATCAAACTCGGCTAAGGTGTTTAAGGTAACCGCTTCGTGGTAATGCAGAGCAGTCGGTAATAATAGCCATCCAGCTCTAGGGGTGCATCGTGCGGTAAGTAGGTATCTAATATTGGAAGCTGCCATACGCATTGCAGACAGCAGCTGTTAACTGTTGTGCAAAAGCAGACTTGCAATGCACATTGCAGTTTCCAATATTATAACCCTATTACCGCACGACACCTTTCCAAAACTTGAAATAACTTGACCCTTCTAAAAATCATCCCTATACGTGATCAACTGATTTACAATGTATAAATTCGGTTATCATAGAAGAAGAGTGTGATAAAGTATGAAGATCCCAGCCCAAACTACGAAACCTTTCGCGAGAACTCGCGCAAGAAGAGTTGGCGGAATTTTAGTAGATCTAAAGAATAAAGCGTCTTCAGACAAGAAAAAGAAATATTCGGGGATCTCAAACAAGTAAGTAAGTATTAGTTGAGCAAAGTAAGTAAGTATCCTGCAGCTCTGATCTATCTGTTTCCCTCTTTTCATTTTCACGGTGGAAGACTTGTAATTTGTGAAGAGGAGTTGATTGTTTTTGTTCTCCTCGGTGCCCGTTGATTGGGCGCTGCTGAAAAATTAAGTTGTGGTGAAAATGCTAGCCGCGTTTGTTTACTTCTGACCACTTTTTCTGCTCACCGAGCGAGCTTTCTGTTAACTGAAGTCTTTTGCTGTGACATTCTTTATTCGGTTCTCTCGTAGATATAATCATGTATAGGAATGGCTTTTTTTAACTTGCGTGATACAAATTGCTGTAACGAGCTCTTTTTAAACCTAATAGCTAGCTTTGTCGTCAGCTTATATGATGCTGATATCTTTTTGATTTGTGCAGAGCTATGCCTAAGGCTGAGACTTGATTTGCAGGATTATTTTAACTGTGACTATAGTATGCTGCGGGTACACCCTGGGGGTGAAACAAAATCAAGTGAGCTCCGATTGCTACGAGTATCTAGACAGATTGAAAGACTTAAGAGATACATACATGCAGCATACTACCTTAATGCGAGAGGCCCTAGAGACTACATCAATTCAAATCGCTTCTAGGTTCATCACCTGATATTAACCGGCCCTCCGACGAGGCAGCGCGCACTTGTGTGAAAGCTATCATCGCCTCGCTTATACCTTTTCCACTTATCTCGATCTAGCCGGCAACAATACTTCAATTATAACAACTTCATATGCTTAATCTCTACAGATCATCAAGGTTATTGGCGCATCTAAAGCACATTTACCGATAAATTCGATATCAATTCGGCTATCCTACTACTTGCAAGATCGAAAAGAAACCGAACTCGAAGCCGAAGCCGAAGCAACAGTCTACACAATTTGTTGAAGCCGGGTAGACACGGGCGCTGCGCGAAAGTGTAGCACTAGCACACCGATCATCAATGCCACAGAGTCTGCCGACAGGTGCGGTAAATTTCAGTCGCGGCAGAGTTGGTTGCTTACAGTTTCCATCGAGGCCCAGATAAATTACCCACGATGGAGATGGCATACACCAACGACCAAGGCAAAATACACTTAGAGAGTCACCTCATCGCCAAGCCAAAAGGAAACCCATCTGATCCGAATCTACTCAAGAAGACTCGGAAGAGGAAGAGAAGGGAAAGAGCAGGGGGAAGGAACCTCAGCAAACAAGCACACCGGCAGCCAATAAAGAATACGAGCAGGACCATGACCACGAATCCTGGGCTGATAGGGCTCGAAGATACCACCAAGGATTTGTTTCTTCTGCTGATGAGCCGAATCTCGATGCAGACTCTGGAAAGAAACAAAATACGGCAGATTGCGGAGCCACTGTAGAAAACACCGATTTGAGGATGCCGGGACAGTATCCATCAACGTGCCCTTCCAGCCTTCTCCTGACCCAGGAGAAGCCGGGAGGTTCGATGCCCGTACCACAAGAATCGGAATCAAAATTTCCCGGTGAATCTGGGACGGTTCTTTTTGCTATCGTGGAACACAGTACTTGTACGGAGGAATTGAAGCCTAGACCGATGGATGGTGAGATTTCGCCATAACTGAGCTGGAGAGATTCCCAGAGTCCGACTCTAGCATCAAGCCACCTCACTTGGACTCTAGAGATGACGGACGTCCCGATCGGCTCAGCCCCTGCTCTGCAGATGCCGAAGATTCTCAACCTTAACAGAGTGTATCAGGTGCCTCTGTTTCGATAGCTCGACAGTACTACGAAGCCCACATCGAAGCCAGTTTTCTGGTAGAGAAGTATTTCTCAATGGAGGGTTTGAACTACATGGGCCGTGGTCCTTTTGCTAAGATGTTGGATGTCATAGAGACAGATCTCGAAGATCTAAGTACCAGAGCCAAGACAGCGGAGATTTTGGAAGGAAAACTTTACAAATCAGCGAAAATCCACGAGGAAGCAGTAAAGAATCTGAAAGCGTCTTACGAGAAAGAAATTTCGGATCTCAGAGTTCAAGTTGATAAGAATCTGAAGGATGCCAGAGAGGAGCTGAAAAAATCTTACATGAGGGACCTTTCAGAATACAAGTCCAAGGCAGACGAGGAGCTGAGATTGGAACGAGGAACTCTCAAGAGATCACTGGGTCTGAAAATATATGGCCTGGAGACACAATTAGCGTCTGAGGAGACCAACCGGGAGAAGGATCTGACAGCCAGCAACAGGCGGTACGGACAGTTATCATCTCAGCTGACCAAGTCACAAAAGGATGCCAGCACTTGGGAGACTAGGTACAACGAACGACCTTTTCGAGAAGTCGAATATTGTTGACCTAGACTATCAGGCAACTTGCATCACATTAAAAGATCTGAAGGTCGAGCTCAAGAAGACGGCAGGTGAGAAAAATGCCAAGATCCTCGCGCTGGAGCAAAACATCGCTGTCATCAGATCCAAGCGAACAAACCATCAGGTCGAGGAAGACAAGATCAGTAGAGCCGTTCAGGATGCTAAAACAAGGCGAAGAAGGAAGTCGTTGAGGTGCAAGCCAAGATGAAAAATTTGCAGTAGACACTCCTTGAGACGCAAGCCAAATTGGCTCAGGCCAAGTCGAGGCTTGAGGCACAGAAGACTGAGCTGGTCGAGGCTTGGAACCTTGTCAATGCAGCCCGCTCCAATCTCATAGAAAACTATGATCATATCGCAAGTCTCGAAGACCAGCTTGCCGCGGCATTGCATGATCTCAGAGTAGCCGAAGGACAGAGCCATAGGTATGTGGATCAGATAAGAGAGAGAACAGAAGAGTGCGAGAAGCTTAGACGAGACGTACGAGGTCTGGCTATGATCATGCAATCCAACGCACAGCAGGCCGGGGCTCTGGCTGATCGTACCGTCAACCGTCAGCACGCTCGATAGCATAGATCCCAAGGTGGTCAATAAGGCCCAAGGATTTACTGATATAAGGTGCAAGAAAGTACGCAAAACTAGAGAGTGTTTTTAGATTGTAGGAAAGTCTTTTGAGCCAAGAAATATCCACGCATGATCATCTCCGCAGGATATCTTTTCTACTCACAACTCACAGCATTTGAAACTTCTCACTTCCTCACCGGTTCGCCGTTCGCTGCAATCAGACTCTCCTCCGTCCTGATGGGGCCCTCACCAACAGAAGTCAGAATGACTCTGCTCAAACCACCCTTCAGCACCGATATTGCTCTGGTATCAACATAACTGTAATCCTGGACCTTGACATCTTTGTCTTCCCATCCGTCTAAGTTGCCCAATGCACCCTTCAGTACACCCGCCACCGCATCCGTATTTTCGTCTTCGTAGTATATAACAGCATTTGGTCCAGCATCGAACGTGTACGCAGCAATGATCCTGCCCGCCTTCTTGTTGATGCTGTTTACAGCCGTGATAGCAGCCCGACTAACATCATTGAGGTAGAAAATCGGCGGTCTGGTATCCAAGCAAGAGGCATGGAAGCTGTTACTCTCCGCCATGGTAACCTCGCCAAAGCTCTGGAAGTTCTTCTCCTTGATAGCCTTTTCCATCAAAATCATAGCCTCGGGCACTACCTCCTGCGCCCTCGTCTTGAAGTACTTTGATGTTGCGACTGTAATTTGCATACCCGCTGTACTGCTCACGTCTTTCTTCTCTGCCGATACGACGAGGATCAGGGCGCGCATGGTGGGCCAGTGGGATGCTGGTGCGATCTCTACGGCTAAACTGTCCGATCCGTCATCCTTCTCGCCCATCTGCCATGCTACATAGCCACCAAAAAGCGATCGACACGCACTTCCGCTTCCTTGTCTCGCGATCCGTGATAGTTCTGTAGGCGTCGATTTCAACTCATACAGATTCGCAATCGCGCGCACGAGGGCAGCGAACCCAGCAGCAGAAGACGCAAGTCCAGCAGCGGTAGGGAAGTTATTCTCAGATACTATTCGTAGCGGGAGAGCAGCGAGTTTTGGGAGAGAAGGAGACGAAGCTTCGAGTTCGGAGCGCAGAGAGCGCAATTCGCGGAAACAGGCTTGTGTTCGAGCTCCTGAAACGTCTTGTGGGGAGGTATTCAAGAGAAGGCTGTCTCCTGGGCCAAAGGAGGCCGAGCAAGCTGCTGTTGTATGTGTACGCAGGTCAGCTTGGGAGAGAGTTACGGAGATCGAAGAGTTGGTAGGGAGGTTGAGCTTTGGATCGCGTTTTCCCCAATATCTGAGATTGACTTATTAGTGAGGGCTGTCAAAGGAGGGGTTGGTGGGGTTACTTGACGACTGCGATGTTGACTGGAGCAGTCGTACTGGCCTGATAGATCGGTTGGTCGGCCATCTTGAGATCAACTGTTGAGTCTAAGAAGATTTGGAAGAATTGGGACAAAAAATATTGAGAAATTGATCGGCGGATCTGACGATTTATGGAAGTTTTTTATCTTGAAAGTGAGGGAGGGGTACTTTGGCGTCGAAATTAGAAGGCGGTCAGAGCCACCCAATCGGCGATTATCCGAAAACGGTCGACGATATTTCTAGAGCGGCAAAATTTGTATTTTGCCATCACCGTCACGACTCACCTATTACCCGGCTAGGACAATCACCATGCCGAAAGAAACAGAAACTCCGCCAGAAGCATGTCCAGTTGATCACGCCACCCGCGCGGCGTGGCTAAAAAACAATTCCTCCAAGCCCGTCGTCTTCTCTGGCATAACGAAAGAAGCCAGCCAAGCCAGCGCAGGAAACAGCTGCGACTCAAAGACAATAGACCAGAGCCCGCCTCCTCCACAGCGCAGTTTCTTCTCGCGCTTCATTGCGCCTGTAGCACCTCCAGCAGACGGCTCCACAACCCTCGGACTCGACCGCGAGGTATCTACTATTCCGAGAGCTTCGCCAGTCAACAATGAGGAGGGGGCGAAACCTGCGAACAGCGAGAAGGAGAGCGGTGTTAGCAAGGATGGGAACTGGATATACCCATCTGAGAAGATGTTTTTCGATGCGATGAAGAGGAAGGGCTATGCGACTGAGTCGGCTGACATGAAGACTATTGTGCCCATTCACAACGCGGTCAATGAGAGGGCGTGGAAGGAGATTAAGGACTGGGAGAGGCCTTATGGGAGCGAACAGCAGTACGTCTACATATGTCATATTGTCAATTAGGTGAGAGATATGATGGCTAATGCGGATTAGATGCGGCGGACCGAGACTTCATTCCTTCCTCGGACTTTCCCAAACCCTTAGCCCAAAGGCACGAATCAATACCTGGCTGGGATACACAGCTCCTTTTGATAGACACGATTGGGTTGTCGACCGATGTGGTACGAGGGTGGATTACATTATTGATTTCTATGCCGGGAGGAGTGATGCGAATGGAAACGGGAAGCTGAATTTTTATCTTGATGTAAGGCCGAAGCTGAATACTTGGGAGGGGTGGAAAACGAGAGTATCCAAGCTGGTGGGCTTGACATAAGTGTGATGGTTGATGGCGTTGAATGCATTAGGTTTGAGCGAATCTCCGCTTCGACGGAATGATGTACTATACGAGTGAGGTGTACGCTTTTTGTGACTCAAAGAAAGATACTATCCTGTAAGACTTCATACTACGTGTAATGATTTCAAAATAAAATATGGGTAAAATTTATATCATCCAGAGCGGCGCTGTGTCCGTTGAAAGGAGTATTCAGTGATAGCTCTACATCGGAGGTAAATACCATAACCATGCAGAGCATACAGCCAATGATAAATGACCCTTTGTGGCTCAAGCCCTCTCATACATACAATGTCGAATTAAGGTCTCGCTTCGCCCAGAAGCGATGCCTCCCTTCAATGTACTTAACGTCTTCTTCCCCCGGCACCACACCAATTGACCCCAGAGAATGAGAGAAAACCAGAGACCACCTCAGAATGGCCCAGAAACCGCTCTCAGAATCGATGGTTGAGATCGAGGAGGTTGACCAAGCCAAAAACCTCGTTGCAACGTATATCAAGAGCTCGACGGGCGACAAGGGGGAGAGGATCGATGTGGTTGTGAGTTGCGCATTATCACAAACCTGCAAGATGGGAAGACTTGATAGAACTGATGGCGATGTAGATTCCCAAGAACGTGAATGGCTATGCGCGGAGCGTGCTCGATGCTTTCTTACCTGCCGGGTATCCGAATAGTGTCACGGAGGATTATTTGGAGTACATTCAAATTAAATGCCCCTGAGTGTTTTTGGAGCGTTGGCTGATGGTTGATTCCAGATATCAGATATATGTAAGAGCTGCAAATAAGCCATGGACTCAGTCAGAGCTGATCTCAGAAGGACTCTCTACAAGCGTTCTCAAGCTCCATAGCTGGGATGCTGTCCTCGAGAGCCGTACTAGAGGGCAAGCCTCCCCTGTCCCAAAGAAGCCCAACCATCTTACCCAATAATCCCAGGAATCGGCGTCGGCGACTCCCACGCCTCCCCAACAGCCGCCCTCCTCCTCTCGGTTCTGCAACAGAGCATGGGCCGTATAGCTACCATCGTCTTCGCCCACCGTCTCGGCACCGCTCTCGAACCCGAATGTAAGATGTACCGACTTGCAGCCGACATCTTTAACGACGCCGCTATGATCTTGGACTGTCTCTCACCTGCTCTGCCAAAGGCTTCACGGGTTGCACTGTTGAGTCTGTCGAGCGTGCTGAGGTCTATGTGCGGTGTCACGGCTGGTAGTTCGAAGGCGTCGCTGAGCGCGCATTTCGCTACCCAGGGGAATCTGGGGGAGCTAAACGCTGTGAGTATACTCCATCCCATCAGCAACCAAACCTCAAGTCTGATAAAGGCAAACAGAAAGACTCCAGCCAAGAAACAGTCATCTCCCTCCTCGGCATGCTTGCTGGGAGCGTGGTAGTCTCCTACATCACATCCAAGACCATCACCTGGATCGCTCTGATCCTTCTCCTCGCGACCCATCTCGGCACCAACTACCTCGCCGTCAGAGCCGTCTGCATGCAGACCCTCAACCGACAACGCGCTAACCTCGTCCTCTCCAACATCTTACAGCAGCTCTCGGACTTGGACGACCGGAACCGACGACCGGCCCCTCGCACAGGCGTTGTTGGGCCACCCGCTCTACCAGACGGCATCACCTGTCTCACTCCAGAGGAAGTCCAGTTGAAGGAACGCGTGTTTGAGCGCGATGGCGTGCTGCGCTGGAATGGGCAGCAGGTCCTGGGTTACTGTCGGCTAGGCGTGAAGCTGCAGGACGTCCTCGACTGCCTTAGCAGATCCAACGAGGTGACGGGCAGTACGAGTTCCCCCACGAGTCGGCTAAGAGAGCTGCTCGACATCTTTCAGGAGGAGCAGTACCTCATCTGGTATGACGAGCAGCGCAAGACGTTCCTGGTCGTACTGGATGACGAGTCTAATGCCGTTGCGCAGCTGGCTGCGTGGATGTTCGCGCTGTCGTTTGCGAAGGAGAGAATGGGAATGGAGAAGACGGAAACTCAGAAGACAGGAATGGAGAAGGATTTTATGGATGCGTTGAGGAAGGAGCGGAGTTACATGGCTCGCGTGCAGGTGGGTATCTTTGAGATGCTGGGATCTAAGTGGGATTTGGAGACTGGTGCCTTGGAGACCAAGTCAGGGGTGAGGATCAGGAGACCGAAAGCTCTTCGAGGGTACTAAGAATGAGCTACCGCGGTTAGCTGTCTACGTTACAGAATTGGAAGGGATATCTCGACTATCAGAGCCCGATACTCTCGAAATTGGCAAGTAAGCTTGGTCTGGTGTATGGGAGATGGAATTTAGTAGCTTATCTACCAGCTGCGAATCCTGCCACAGACTGGCCCCTAAACGATGCCTCGGGAAGTAGCTCCCTAAAGCCCAACAGACACGCGATCCCAAATTCTTCCCCTCTATCAAAGTAACCGGGGTCCTTCGTAGCAACATAACCCGGTGTGCTCATCACATCCCGTCGTAGAAGTAGAGACGCAGTTCTCTTGTCCCGCGTCGTAGGGTATACTTTTTTTTTGGCCGGCCCCTTCCCCCCTCCATTTCTATTTGCAAGCGATTATCCCACCATCTTCACAAGCTCCTAAGCTGCCAAGCTCGCTCCCCCGGTCTCAATGGCGTCGATCTCAGATATATCGATAGGCTGTCTTCTGAACCTCGCGGGCAACTCGCTGCGGTCGAAGAACTCCCCCTTGGCGGGAGTGACGGGACCGAGCGATTGTCCCGACATCGAGCCCAAGGTGCCGTCGGAAGCCTTTGTGCGGCCGAGAGGCCCGTGTTGCTGGGCCTGCTGCCTGTAGGAGGAGAAGGAGGCCGAGGAGGACTTTTGCGCGGACACGAAGTCGGCGGGGAGCTCGTGAGTAGGGGAGGCTGGATGGGCGCGGGGGGTGTGGTCGACGGAAGCTGGAGAATTCCATGTCAGATCTGAGAGTTGTTTGGCTGGGGATGGGAGAGAGAGAAGATCTTTACCAGGAATCGACCGCTTCCCAAGGAACTTGATTGAAGGCTGTCTCTCGGCTTGTGCAGCAGCGGCCCGCACACACTTTGTTGCTGCGAACATCTTTTCGAGAACGGGTCTCTGGACCGGACCGGGTTCTTGACAGGTCTCTGGACAGGAGGTCTCTGGACAGAAAAGCTCAGACGGATGCTGGCAGCTGATTCTGAGATCCCACTGGCGAGGGAGGAGCTGTGCGTTTTGTTGGTGCCAGACAGGGCGGGCCGCGCTAGAGATATTGGTGGTCGTTATCTTTAAGAACCTTCCTTATATCAAGAATGCGGATCTCCCTTTCTCTGCTTGGCGAATTGATGTACGGAGTACGGAGTACGGAGTGGTTGTAGAATGGGGGGTCGAATGTTTTGACGTGGCACTGCCTGATTGTTATCGGTATTCTTCTTCGGCTTCTTGTGTTCTTGATCCGGAAAGATACGGAGAAGGAGGTGGTGCACTTTTCGCTCTGACGTGTTGGAATACGGTACGGAGTCTAGACAAATCGAACGCAGACCCAACCCGATGATGCCCGGTTTCGGCCGGCCTGCGAATACCCTAAGCGCTTGCAGGGTATCTAGTACTGTAGTAGCTTCAGCGCGTGTGTGTGATAGCCTCGGTTCTTGCACGTGTTGTCTCCTCGAACAATGAGTCAGGGACTCGAGGTCCGAGGAGGCTCGATAAGTACCTACTGGTACCGTACCGCAGCATAAGGTACCGGTAGCCTTCGACCTTCAGGTCCTCCGTAGAGAACCTGGCTGTGACTGATGGGACCATATTGAGACCAGTCAATTACATAATACACATGCATAATCCACATACTTGGATACAACTACCTAATCTGCTAGTGTTCAGGATCATATCCAAGAACCTGACGTTCGCTCTAAATAGATTCGAGAAGAGACATCCCCCAGCTAGTACATTCACCAAGCCTGCAGTTCGAAGTCCAGGATCAAGGCCGCTATTTCGAAAAGACTGAAAAGGATGCAGAGGTAGCATGGCTCCCGAGGAAGGTGACTGGAGCAATTGATTAACAAACTGTTCATTTGCTACTCTGAAGTTGTGTATACTCTGTACACGGAGCCAAAGGGGAAGGAATGCCCATTCGCTTGCGATCTCCCAGGGTCCTAAACTTGAAATCACATGACCTATCCTCGTCAACTCCTCCTCGCTATATATCCAGAGTATACAGCATGCCGTTTCATTACTTACATATTCCGATCAGATCAACTCACCATGCATGAGCTCTTCGTCACAACCCATGTGATTAACGAAGATTTAGACCTTACCCTACGCATATTGCAAGGCTATTGCTCCTCATGCCCTAGACATGTCTTCACCCGGTTATTGTCTTTCCAAGGGCCTCTCACTCGAGCCCCCAAGCCGATCGATCCCAATTTGATCAAGCAGCAGCCGCCGCAAAAATTCGTGTCCTGGAGAAGCCTCTCCGATCAATTGTCCCGACAATCCTACATTCTGAATGTCTCCTATGAGATCGATCAAGACGAGTTCGGCCGGACGGAGAATTCAGGCGACGCGCAAGTCCCCCAAGAAGGATCACAGTGGGTACTCTATCCATCTATTTCAGACGAGGGAAGTTCTCGCAACGTTCAGGCCAATTTCTAATATTAATAGACTCCTTGACCAAAGATTTGGAACCCTCCGTTGGAATGACCTGCCCGAGCCAACAGCTGCCAAGCCAGTAAACAGCCGTCTTCCTGATCCTGGATTGACCCGGCCCGTCAACAGCCGGTTGGTAGTCAATATAGATAACCAGCAGGGTCTTTGCACGATTATGAAGAAACTGCAACACACGTATGTGTGTCTGTTATCCGCTTGTAGGCCATAGAAGCTTACATCTGACAGATGTGTCCGGGAGATAATCCAAGAAAAATACATGTCTGTGAATGGAGATATTCTCTTTGAGTGTAGGTCGCGAGAAAACACTCCCGACACAACAAGAATCTATGTTTGCTGATCTCCCAACCACCCAGTGACTCGCTACTTGCTGTTTCCTACCGAGCCAGCAGGTCCTATCCGCGCCACATTGCCTGCTTTCAATACACTGACGCCCTTCGACGCGGAGAACAAATGGATTCTAACGGCAAGCATATTGGTAGCCAAAGGGGACAACCCACAGCAGATGAAGAAGGGAATGGATCAACTTGTGGCAATCAAAAACGACTTTGAGGGGTGCTTTGACTTCAAGGCTATGGATCGACATATCTTTGATACAAGAGTCAAAATGTGAGGGCATTGGGGCATCTTTGAAGGCGTTCCGTGAGGGATCGGGAATATCAAATGCGCATACTTCAACCCATAGTCTCCCCTTCTGAATTGCGTGACATATTCAGTACCCCGCCAACCGTAGTGCCCAATAGCATATGCATGCAGTCACACAATTTAGGCATAGAAGCGGCATCACGGAAGAGGTCTTCAACAATCGATTCCCAAGTATCCCGATTGACCCATGCTAGCTTTATAAACATACAGTGCCCCGCCCTTCACACAATTCCATCCCCTCTACTGGTTCTTGTATGTCTGCCAGACTGCGATTCCGAAAGGAGTGCCTGTGAAGGAATTAGCCCTCGCCCTCTTTGCCACGACTCTAGTAAGATTACCGAATCCAACAGCCATGAATGTCCAGTATCTAAAGGCGAAGAATCTTGTCAATGGGTTGAATGGGATGTTCGATCTTGGGCCCTCGGGGTAGTGGTATGGGGATGACAGCTGGGCGCGGGTGGTAGAGAATGCCCGGCGGGAGGCGACCATAGATGTCGGGGACGAAGTGACGCGGATTGCTGCTCGGGAAAGCATCTGTATGAAGGATATCAGTCTGTAGCACACCAATGGAACCTGCAGAGGCATTACCTTGAAGACTTGAAGGCGGTATAGGTTGTTTGAAGATGGTGGAAGAGGGCCGTTCTAATTGAAGAGGACATGAGCCCAATTGCGCTAAGAAGAGGGCACGGGCCATCGCGTAAAATCTGCCCCAAAATATTTCTTGCTGATTCGGTTCTGCCGCCTTCGACCTGAGAACTTCAAGTTTTTGCGACTGGCTGTCGGATGTCAATGAGATTCCCATAGAATTACACCAAAGTGACCAGTATTCTGGGTAAGATGGACGACGACCTCTTTGACGTCTTCGACGACACGACTGCCGGCGCAGCAGTCCCCGAACGACCCAAGAAGGCAAAAAAGGACAAGAAGGATAGATCAAAGAAGAGAACTGCGACTGGGGGGGTGAAGAAGACTACGAATGATAAGGATGTGGACACAGAGATTGGAGAAGCCGACCCGGTAGCAGAAGACGAGGAAGAGACCCGTTCGCTGGTAGAGAAGAAGGACAACAAGAGACGTCGGAGAGAAGAAGAATCAGAGCCTGTTGTTACTGATGCTTTTCAAACTGAGCAATCAAGGGAAGTTGCTGCTTCAGCTGGTCTACAGGCCAGCGACGACGGAGCTCTGGTCATCCAGCACAATATTCAGCATCAGGTTTCCCTTCCTCCAGATTACGATTACGTTCCGATATCACAGCACAAGGCGCCCGAACACCCCGCCCGGACATGGCCCTTCGAATTAGACCCTTTCCAGAAGGTTGCTATTGCTTCGATAGAGCGTGGGGAGAGTGTGCTTGTATCGGCGCATACTAGTGCGGGAAAGACCGTGGTTGCAGAGTATGCGATTGCGCAGAGTCTGAAGAACAACCAAAGAGTCATCTACACGAGCCCGATCAAGGCATTGAGCAATCAAAAATACCGAGACTTTGCGGCAGACTTTGGAGATGTCGGACTTATGACTGGGGATGTCACTATCAATCCTACAGCAACTTGCTTGGTTATGACGACAGAAATTCTAAGATCTATGCTGTACCGAGGCTCCGAAATCATGCGGGAGGTTCAATGGGTTATCTTTGACGAAATTCATTACATGAGAGACAAGGCCCGTGGTGTGGTATGGGAAGAGACAATCATTCTGCTGCCAGACAAGGTCAGATATGTCTTCCTATCGGCTACCATTCCAAACTCCATGCAGTTTGCAGAATGGATCACCAAGACCCATCAACAACCTTGCCACATTGTCTATACAGATTTCCGACCTACGCCACTACAACATTACTTTTTCCCTGCTGGTGCTGATGGTATTCATTTGATTGTTGACGAGAAGGGCAACTTCCGGGAGGACAACTTCCAAAAGGCCATGGCAACCATCGAGGATCAGAAGGGAGCAGATCCAGCAGATATCAATGCCAAGCAAAAAGGCAAGGGCAAGAACAAGAAGACGAATAAGGGTGGTGTCAATGACGACAAAAACGACATCTATAAGATTGTGCGCATGATCATGGTGAAGCATTACAATCCTGTAATTGTCTTCAGTTTCAGCAAACGTGAGTGTGAGGCATATGCGCTGAAGATGAGCTCACTGGCCTTCAACGATGAAGCAGAGAAGTTAGTGGTCACGAAGGTCTTCAATAGTGCTATCGAGTCTTTATCGGAGGAGGATAAGAGTCTGCCTCAGATTCAACACATTCTGCCTCTCCTTCGTCGTGGCATCGGTGTTCATCACTCTGGACTGCTTCCGATTCTGAAGGAGACCATCGAAATCCTGTTCCAGGAAAATTTGATCAAGGTGCTCTTCGCAACGGAGACATTTTCTATTGGACTGAATATGCCTGCAAAAACGGTTGTCTTCACTAGCGTCGAGAAATTTGACGGTACCAGCATGCGATACTTGACACCTTCTGAATTCGTACAGATGTCCGGACGAGCAGGACGAAGAGGTCTTGATGCTAGAGGTATTGTCATCATGATGATCAACGACAAGATGGAGCCAGCAACAGCCAAACAGATTGTCAGAGGGGAACAAGATAAGCTGAATTCTGCTTTCTACCTCGGCTACAACATGATTCTTAACTTGATCAGAGTGGAGGGCATATCTCCGGAGTTCATGCTAGAGCACTGTTTCTATCAATTTCAAAACAGTTCCAGCGTGGCAGGGCTGGAGAGGGAGCTAGTAGCAATCCAACAGGAGCGAGACAATCTTGAAATTGCGGATGAATCTACTATCAAGGAATACTACGACCTCCGACAACAGCTCGATTCGTATTCCAAAGACATGCGCGATGTCATCAATCACCCTAATTACTGTTTGCAATTCATGCAGGCTGGACGCATTGTACACATCAAATTCCAAGACCATGACTTTGGTTGGGGTGCAGTTGTCAGTTTCAATCCCATCAGAGCTGTCAAAGGACAAGACCAGGCCGAGGTCAAACCGCAAGAATCGCACATGCTCAACGTTTTACTCCTGGTCTCCAGTGACTCGTCAACAGGAGGTACACAGAGCCTATCTGCGCTCCCACCCGGAATCCAGCCCCCCACGAACGGCGACCCTGGAAAGATGGAAGTTGTCCCGGTTCTGCTCTCATGTATCGAGGCAATTGGTCATGTCCGCCTCTTCTTGCCAAAGGATCTTAAATCTTCTGGTGATCGGAATTCGGTGCGCAAGGCCTTGGATGAAGTCAAGCGCCGATTTCCAGATGGGATTGCGGTCCTCGATCCCATTGAGAACATGGGCATTACGGATGACTCTTTCAAGAAATTGTTGCGCAAGATCGAGGTCCTTGAGTCCAAGCTGCTCTCGAACCCTCTCCACAACTCTCCTCGTCTCCCCGAGGTTTACAACCAGTATATTGCCAAATTAGCTTACGGGACAAAGATCAAAGACATGAAGAAAAATATCACCTCTGCCCTGAGCATTATGCAATTAGACGAGTTGAAGTCGCGAAAGCGTGTACTTCGTCGTCTTGGTTTCATCAACGATCAGGAAGTTGTTGAACTCAAGGCTCGTGTGGCTTGTGAGATATCTTCAACGGGTGACGGCCACGAGCTTTTGCTCTCTGAGCTGTTGTTCAATCGCTTCTTCAACGAGTTAAGTCCCGAGGTTTGCGCCGCAGTACTCTCCTGCTTCATCTTTGAAGAGAAGAGTCGAGCTGAGCCACTTAGGGAGGACTTGGCGAAACATTATAGAGAAATCCAGAGCCAGGCCAAGGTCATCGCTAAGGTGAGCCAGGAGAGCAAGCTAAAAGTCAACGAAAAGGAGTACATTGAGAGCTTCAAATGGGAACTCATGGAGGTTGTTCTTTGCTGGGCAGAGGGGAAGTCTTTTGCGCAGATCTGGTAAGTTACCCCTTCTCTTCTCGCCGAGGTGATACTAACGAAATGGGCAGCAAAATGACAGAGGTCTACGAAGGCTCTTTGATCCGCTTGTTCCGCCGTCTCGAAGAGTTGCTCAGGCAGATGGCACAAGCCGCCAAGGTAATGGGTTCCGATGAGTTGTCTGCGAAGTTCGAGGAAGCTCTCACCAAGATCCGGAGAGATATTGTCGCTGCTCAGAGTTTGTACTTGTAAGTCCGACACTACGCCCGAAGCCTCTGTCCATTTCTATCGGATTAATATCGGTGTTGGGCAAACGGAAAGATAATGCATGGTTGGAGCAATGGAGTTTACGCTTGCATACCAGGGGAGGAGGTCATGGCTTTTTTTGATCGTCGTTTTTGCTTTTCTCCGGGTGTGCGAAAACCTCCGCATAGATTCTATAGCGTTTGAGCACCAGATGAAATGAGCATCAGATGAAAACTTGTCGCTGTTCTCTTGTCAGTGGACCTGCATGTACTTGAAGCATGGGTCTGAATTAAAGTAATATGGCCTACGCGAGATCTTGTCACAAATCCACGGTCGATCAGCATGTTACGTGTGACGAGTCCCTGGTATCAGAGAATGATGAAGGTTATTAATATTACAAGTAGCAGTACAGTATAAAGCTTCGTCTGAATCAGAATTACTCCTTATGCACCCCTATTCTACGGGTGATCCATTTTTTTTTTTCGCGCGTCGCGATGCGATGAGCCGCGGTCCGGTACGGTACGGTACGTATGGCTGCGGGTAAGGTACTAAAATAAGGGGCTAAGGGGCCAAAAGGGCCGACGCTTGCGTACTTAGATCTGAAACATGGCGCTCGGTGGTTGAGTGCTGGTGGGAGCTGCTACCGGTATTGCTGCTGCTGCTGCTGCCAGGAGCCGGAGCCGCAGAGACTAATGTATCAATTTTCAAGAGGATTACAAATGGCTATACGGAGTACTATAATAGACAGTATGACTAAATAGTACGACTAAAAGAAGGTCATTGAAAAGCAATTAGAATCCTGCCTACAGATCTAGTCGTCGCATTGCAAGTACGGAGTGAAAAGTACGAGCTATCCAACGTTATTCTGTCCCTCGGACCTATAGAATCCAACAATCCTCTTTCACTTTCGCTCTGCATCCTTATTCCGTACTTTGGTATCCTCGTCATTTTTCACTTTCTTACTTACCTCGTACCTTAAACCTGTCAATCCCGTCGTCCGATCCTCCAAGCTGAGACACCGAGCGACAAAGTGACTAGTCGTCGGGCTGCCCTGTCAGATTCACCACGGACCCTTTGGGACGAGCATCTCCCTCTCCATACCCCGTTACCGACCTCCCCCACTTGACTTGGTTAAGTATAGTCCATGACCGCGACCGCTACCGCTACCGCTACCGCTACCTTGACCGCTACCGCTACCGCTACCGCTACCGTTACCACTACCGCTGCCGTTGACGCTCCCGTCCGTGAACAACGTGTCTCTCGCTCGATCGATTCACCGTAACGGTAACAGTAACACTCACACAGTCGACACAATTTGTCTGGTGAGAGTTGCACTACAAACCTTTCAATGACCTAAAGACACAATCCCTCACGAAAGGCAGGCAGGCCTGCAACCTCGATCAGCAGGTCTTTAAAGGCCATGGATCCTTCATCCGTTCCGCTGGCAGATTATTTCTGGATCGCAGGCATCGAATCCATTTCCTACGATGATCATGTTGTTGGCTTCGGACCCCCCCTTTCACCAACATTCGACTCAACAATAGAGGAAGACGGCGAAGCTGGAAACACACCCTCCTCCCCTCCCCCCAGAGCCACTGCCCTCCATTCCCGCAACAATTCATGGAACAGGTTGGGGAGAGGGTCAAGCGATGTACGGAACTCGATCCAGAGCCTCGAGGAAACTGGGAATACGGACAGCAACAGGAGCAGTGTCACAATCAAAGCGCCGACGCAGCCAGGACTGAACGGCAATGGCAACAATCGGGATAGCGTACTAGGAGACTTCGACTTTGATAAGGCGCTGATCAAGTTTGCGCATGAGAGAGGGGACTTCTTGGATGATTTGAGCTTCAGCGCGGGGGCGCCTGTGCACAAACGTCCGCCCATGACAGTTCCGAGAGCAGATAGGATCAGGAATAGCATGGCTACGGACACTGAGACAAATGGGGGAAGCCCGGGACTCGTGAAGAAAAGCCCTCTAAGAAGCGTTGGAGGCAGTATCCGGAGAAGGATCAGTTTTAGGGATATGAGCAGTGCAAAGAGACAGCCCTCGATAATTCAGAGAAGTTGTGAGTTCAAGTGCTTTCTCCCATGGGAGACAGCGAAGACAGGAGAATACAAGCATATTATTGACTTCGTTCTTCTTTGCTGCGAAGCTCACTGGACACCTGCTGACACCTCCACAGCTTCAGTACGGACTTCGAAGCGATTGAGTAATTACAACTCGGTCATTCCACCCCCTGAACCTCTCAATGCAGATCCCGAGATGCACCCCCTGAAGCGCCGATTCGAGCCGGTCCTGCTTGACAGATATCCACCGAAGAGTGCTACAGACGAGCTAGAGCGGAGGGGCAGATTTCCAGATTACGTACCAATGTTCGCATTCCCAAACGATATCAACATAGTGTCTGCGGACGAGAGACCTCGGTCGACATGGCATGGATTTGCAATGACTGGCGACGACAATTCCAAGATCTATGGTATCACTGTCATTGTATGGATGGCACTCAACCCCGATGCTGCGGAGAACGTCGAGAGAAGATGTGAGCAATGGAGACAGAGCCACATGACGAACGAGGAGCGAGAGTTGGCTGCGAGCCTGGGGGAAAGACTTGCTTCTGAGAGAGCCAACCTATCGCAGTTACTGGCCCGATTGCCGAGCGCCGCGTCTGGTTCCCCGGCTAGAGAAGAGTTGGAGGAGGAGATCAGTGCGGTAGAAGAGAAGATTAGTCTGATGACTGATATGCTACGACCGGTTAGACACGGTGCCGCTGCCAAGATTGATGGATTGACTGACGGGGAGACGGGACTTTGGATACCGAGGGCCTACGGCATCTTGGGCCGGGATGCTACTTTGACCAGTTTCTGGAAAGAGTGGCTGAGAGCCGTGGTTGTTCCAATGACTGATGGGGCCGTTCTCAGAGTTCCACCGAGCTCTCCCAAGGTTGGCCGTTGGCAGCCCTTGGAAAGGTACGTTGTCAACCTGTGCACCGAAGCACTGAGTCCAATCTCGTCCAAAACCCAGGTCGAGCTTGCAGTGAGGGAGTTACGGATGTTTGCCCGAAAGGAAGCAGCAAATGAGCTACCTGATTCCCGGAATACCGATCTCTACGCTCTGTTCAGATCCCTCAGTATCCCACACATTGTGGCGCTTTTTGAATACGCGCTTTCGGAATCGAGAATCATATTTCTGTCGTCACACACAGCCATGTTGCATCTTGCAAGTAAGGCGTTGGCGAGTCTGCTTTACCCGATGAAGTGGGCAAGCATTTTCATACCTGTTCTGCCAGCCAGGTTGATCTCTGCTCTGGAAGCCCCGTGCCCCTACATAGTAGGCATTGAGCGACGATATGAGAACATCGAATTACCGGAGGATGACTTCGTCCTGGTCGATCTGGATGAGGATATCATCGAAGCATCAGGGCAGCCCACCCCTCTACCTAAACAGCAACGCCGAAAGTTGATTTCGCTACTCCAGCTTGCAGCTCCCCACCACAACAGATGCGGTGTACCGACTGGGCCTCCACCTTACGCTATCGAGACGTTCCCATACGATGCCTTTTCTTCCGAGAACGAGGCGATCTACACCCAATATGCCGCGCCGAGTTGTCTCGGCAAGTACGTCAGTCAGAGCTCGGCAATATTTGGGGAACCCGAACCAGGTGCTACCAGGAGGACCTCGGTATTCAACGCATTTTTGCAATCGAAGAACGATCATAGCAGAGTCGAAAGACCTACAACAAGCCGATCAAACAAGACGAGTCCTGCAAATTCCGTGTCACCGGTTTCCCAAAATTTTCCGCCTCTGCCTACAACTCCAGTTTCCCGAAACGACTCGGGATTTGCTCTGACGGCTACATTGAGAGAGAAGAGGTCAGGGCATTTCGATGCGATTTCGAGACGAAGCTCGTCCTTTGGAGTCGACCGACAGCCAACACTTCGGAGACCAAGTGTCCCGTTTAGCAGTGGACACTCGTCAAGTCTTTCTACCTCGGCCTTGTCGCTGGGAGATGCAAAGTCAAGTTACGGATATGCACCATCCACGTATGCGGCTTCAACGCTGGCGGCGTCTACAATCATGCCCAACATGCTGATGCAGCCGGTTCGAAACACGGATTCTACAGTCTGGGTAGAGGGTCATTACCTTGTATGGCAACGAAACGACACCTCTTCAGTTTGTGACATATGTGAAGACAAACCAGACGGCGATGGTATCTACAAATGCAGTAGCTGTAGCACAACATCTCACGGCCGCTGCCTAGGTCATGTATCTTTGGTCTGCCCCTCGGCATTTAATCCTGATCGTGTCCGTGCTGCATTCGTTAGATGCTTTTCTAGCTTGTTCTACACATACAGAAAATACTTGAACCGACCGACAAAGGAACAAAAGAGCCGCGGGCAGATATATGGTTTCGACATGGATGGATTCCTGAGGAGCTTACCACATGAACAGCAGGAGTACATAGCTATGCTGAAGCAGACGCAAGGTAAGCCACACCCGCACTATCCTATCTAGTGTTCTCCGTTTTCTAACACTGTCATAGGATTCAATGAATTTATCCACGAGCGCGAAACCACAGCCGCAAGCTCCCCTAGCATCCAACTCTTCGATAGCATCATTATGGCGAAAAAATCTCGAGGTCGCACAACTTTCTTCTCGAAGGGCTCAAAGTCGGAATCATTCCTCGATGACACTTCCGACCATCTCTGGAGAAGTGCCGCTGTGCCAACACCCAGCGCGAAGTTCCCTGGTGACTATAAGACTGTGGTATCTCGCATCCCGGCACAGCTAGACGTGGCATTGATGCGTGAGCCAAGAGTCATCCAAGGAGTGCCGAGAATGGACATGCCCGGTAAAAGAGTCGGACGGAAGGCTGTACCAAGTCTCCTGGGAAGTAGCGGGGGAGTACGATTGGAACTATGAAGGACATTGTCAGATGAAATACAGGGAGACGAAGCGAAATTAACGACAGCGACGACAGAAGCAGCAAGATGTAATAATATAGCGACGTGGGACCCTCAAAAAAGCGTGCGAACTGGTGTAGATGGAGTACATATATGATTTTCTTGGTTCCTTGGGCCGGATTTGGGCAATCATAGACTCGGCATGGAGGGAGCGTGTCTTTAGCTTGATTTGATTGGTTTTTCCTGCTTGGTTGGATTCGCACCAGACGCATGCCAACATGCGTAGAGCCAGCCGTCCTACGGCGATGGGGGATTGTGCTGGTGGAGACTTTGGGTTGTCAGAGAGAGAGAGAGAGAGAGAGATAGAGAGGT